CCACAGAGCCCAACAGCACGCTTGGGTGGCCCCTGCGCCCCACAGAGCCTCACAGGACCCTTGGGTGACCCCTGTGCCCTATGGGGAGCAAAGGGGCCCTTGGGTGCTATCCTGCACCCCATGGAGCCCCAGAGCACCCCTGGGTGACCCCTGCACCCCACGGAGCCCAAGGGCACCCTTGGGTGCCATTCTACACCCCACAGAGCCTCACAGCACCCTTGGGTGACCCCTGCGCCCCATGGAACCCAAGGGCACCCGTGGGTGCCATTCTGCACCCCACAGCACCCCTGGGTGACCCCCACGCCCCCCAGAGCCCAAGGGCACCCTTGGATGACCCCTGCATCCTCTAGGGAGCAAGGGGTCCCTTGGGTGCCCCCACACCCCCCAGAGCTCAAGGGTGCACCCAGGTGCCTGCAATGGGTCCTGTGCCCCGGGGTGCCCCTTCTCCCAGCCCCACAGCGTGTCCCCGGTGTCCCCCAGCCCTCCCCTAGCTGTGGGTGACACCCTGGGGACACCCCGTCACTGCCACCCCTGTAAGTAAACAATAAATCATCTCAGATGGGGCCAGCGCCTGTATTGTCTCCGTCACCCCACATCACCCGTCACCTCCCTGCCCCATCGCCCCGGGTGACACATTCCTGCCACCTCCCCATCCTTCTCTGTCCCCCCAGGGCGAGGAGTTGTCCCCACGCCACCTCCCTCAACCCCAGTGACACATCCCTCTTACTCTATCCCGCCCTGGGGCACCACATACCCATGTCAGCCCCACGCCTGCCTGTCATCTCCTGTCCCTGTCACCCCGTGGCCCTCGCTCTCCCTGTGGTAACCCAGCCCTGGGGTCCCCAAGAACCGTGTCCCCCAGCCCTGAGGTCCCCCCAGCCCAGGCAACCTCATCCCACCTTCTCTGTCCCCATCCTGTCCCCTCCATCCTCATCCCTGTCCCCTCTATCCCTGTCCCACTCCCTAGGGCCACCCCCTCCCCAAACCCTCCATGCCCAGCGTCCCCAGCCCATCCTGTCCCCCTTTGTCCTCATCCTTGTCCCCTCTGTCCCCAGCCCCATCCCTGTCCCCTCCATCTCCATCACTTCCCCATCCCTGTCCTGTCCCACTGCCAT